GAGAGTGAGGAGGTCTCCCCTGAGCCTCCTCTTCTCCAGGCTGAGCCCCCCCAGCTCCCTCAGCCTCTCCTCACAGCACTTGTGCTCCAGTCCCTTCCCCAGCACAGCAGCCCCTCTGACCCCGTGCAGAGCAGGGGGTGGTGTGACCTTGCTCCTCTGGGTCATCCCTGTGACCTCAGGGGTGACCAGCAGCAGCTCCTGCTGCTTTCTGCCTCTGGGGCCCTTCTCCCCTCCCCAGGGTGTGGAGCTTGAAGGTGGGACTGATTCAGTGGCTGCTGCTCCACCTGCCAGACGTGCAAACAAAGCCGGCCCCACGCGCCGCTGCCCAAGCGTGGAGGGGCTGAGCCCCCCCGAGCTGCTGCAGCCCTGGGCTGGGGGGGAACAGCAGCTCTGGCTCTGCTCTGGTTGGGGTTGCACAGCAGCTCAGGGCCTGCAGGGCCACCCTCAGGGGGGATGGGAAGCTCATGAAACCCCCTTGAGCTTTGCCAGATGCCTCTGGAGCTCAGAGGAAGGTTGGATGATGCTTTCAGGCACGTGGTGGGATTGCTGGGGTTGTCCTGTGTGGGGCCAGGAGTTGATCTCTTCTAACTTGGGAGGTTCTGTGACCAGTCCTCCGAACATCGTCTTCCTCAGAGCAGAGGAGGTGCCTCAGGAAAGCAGGTCTTGCTCTGAGTTGCCCACCTGACTCTTGTCCTGACTATAATCATGGCCAAAAGCAAGTTGCTCCCCAAGGAAGGTGCTTTCTGGGTCCTTCCCTGCTTCTTTTCGCTCCTGTTTTTTGGAGATGCCTCCACCTGAGCTCCGCCACTGCCCTCCCAGCACTTCCCAGTGTGTGACTCCTGCCCCAATCCTGGCAGGAGCTGCAGAGGAGGTGGCTGGGCCTGGTCTGACGAGTGATGGGGACCAGCTTTGCTGTGCCCCAGCACTTTGGGGGAATTGGGGACCACGGTGCCATGGAAGGGGGCTGGGGCAGGGTGAGCGAGGTGACACGTGAGAGAGGTGAAGGCTGTTTTGGAGACGTTGTCACGAGCACTTGTTTTGTTGGGTTGGAACCACAAACCGCAGAGCCCCAGCAGAGGTGCAGCACTGGGGGGGGTTCAGGTGGGGTTTTTTTTCTCTTCTTTTCTTGTTTGAAAGAAGGAAAACAAAACAGAGGCCGTTGAGAGGGGTGGTGTGTGAAACCCTCTCAAGACAGAGTGGGGTGACTCGTTTGGGGCTGTGCCCTCCCCGGTTTGGCACCATCCGCCCCGGCCGGGTGGTGCCACCAGCACTGCACCAGTTTAATTTCCCAGTGCTTGGGAATGGGGTGGGGGAACCTCCAAACCTGAGCAAGGAATGGTGTGGCCCCACACCCTTAGCCCTGGGGACACCCCTGGGTGCCCTCAGGGGCTGGTGCTGCGGAGCTCCGGCTGTTCCCGCTGGAGGAGCCGCCTGTGCTCCGGCTCCAGAGGAATATTTTCCCCCTGACGCCGGAGAATTCCTGTGGTGTGACACTCCCTGCTCAAGGACCCTGTTCAGTGCCACCAGGGCCAGACAGGGCCCCCATTGTGGCCCCTCTGGTGGGTGCTATTCTGAGCAGCCCCGGGGGTGCTGGAGGTCACCCCCCACCCTCTGATCCTCCCTTGTCCTTTGTGCAGCAGGGGCTGCCCCCATTCCCCAGCCAGGGCTGGGGTTGCTCTGGGAATCTCCTGGAAGTGCATGGGGCATAAAAGTTGCTTTGTGTCCCTCTACTCCATGCTTGGAGCTGCATCCAAACCCAGGCTGCAGGAACACCCCAGTGGGGGTGGTTTTGGAGATAACCAATGGGTCCTGGGGTGGGTTACACCCACTGAGCTGTGCCAGCCTGGAACAGTCTGTGTCTGCTTGTGGCATGGAGTGATCCCAACCAGGCATCCCAAGGGGGATTTCCAGCCCTGGATGGGGATGAGAGGAAGGGGTGAAGCAGAAGGGATGGAAAATGGGCGCTGCTCCCAGCTCCTGGGGTGCACACAAAGCCTGGCAGCTTTGGAGATGTGACATCCAGGAGTGGCATCGCTGCACGAGCCAAGGGTTAGCTTGAAATCCTGTGGGAAAAGAGGAGATTTCCAAGGGTCTCCCAGCTCCTTGCTAGTCTGCAGAGTAGGTGAAAGGAGCCCATTTCTGCAGATCTCCCTCCCAGCACTAACTGCAGCTGCACCAGATGGTGTCTGGACTTCCAGAACTCTTTCCCTGTTCCATTCACCTTCCTGCCCTCCTGGTTTTGGGCACACAGGCTCAGGCATGTGCCAGGGTTTGGCTCCTGCCACCTCGTGCCCGGCTGACATCTCAAGGTGCCCTGGCTGGCACATCTGCAGGGCCCCTCTGCCCTCCCCTGGGGCAGGGAGGGTGTGTGTTTACAGGAGCTGGGACATGCCTGGAGCCCTGCAGTAAACACATTCTTCACATAATTGCTTGTCCAACACAGAGGAATTTGGGGTTTTACGTGTCCCACAGGCAGCTCGGAATAGACCTTGGGAATCCCTGTTCCTTTGGAATCACTGCTTCCTTTGGAAATCCCACAGTACCCGGCAGAGGGTGGCAGGAGCCCTGCTTTGCTTGCTGGAGAGAGGGCAAGAATTCCTGGGTTTCCCCCGGGGAAAGATCTCCCTGCCAGCTGGAAGCCAAGCAGGAACTGCACTGGCCACTTGGCTCGGGGGCAGTGCCACTGGAGCCTCCAAAGGCTCCTGCAGAGCCAGGATGGCCCAGGGGAGTTTTGGGGGCAATTCCTTACCCCAGAACCTGGTCTCTGGGGGATGGGCTTCCATCCAGCTTATTTTGGGGAGGGAATCAACAAAAAATCTTGTCCTTTGGTTGGGCAGGAGAGAGACAGATCTGAGGGGATGGACCAGGTCTCGCTTCAGCCTTGGCTCCTTGGCCACGTCTCTGTTACCCTGATTTGGGGCTTGGAGGCTCCCTGGCTCTGTGCAGGGAACTGATGTAAATTCATATGGGCCAAGACAAACCATCCCTTTGGGAATTCACCTGATGTTCCCCATGGAACACCTCAGGTGGCCAGAAAAACCTTTTTCCCCATGTTTTCGCTGTGTTTATTTCTCTGCTGTAAATAGGCCCGAGCTTTGAGATGTGGTGGCATTTCAGGCCAGGCTTTTGGCTCTTCCCTTTGGAATGAGAGGCAAAGGCATCATTTGAATTTCCTCCCTCATTTTGGCTGGGATAACCCAACTCCATCCCTACTGGAGTCACTGTCTTGGCCAGCTCCTGCCGGGAGCGACTGGCTGGAGCCTTTCCCGCCGAGTCTCTTCCCATTTCCAGGCAGAAATGACACTGGGAGCTCCCTGCTTTGTCCTGCCCGTGACTCTGATAACCCCCAGGGCTTGGCAGGGAACCCAGTGCCTCCAAAACCCAGGAGCAGTTCCCCAGGGATGACAGGAGGGAAGCAATTTGGGAAGGGCTGGATGGGACCCACGATTCCCCTGTCCTGGAGCCAGCTCCCTCATTTCCTCCTCCCAGCAACTTGGCTGCTTTTGAGTCATTCCAAACTCTTCCCTCCTTGGGTTATCCCACAGCCACAGCTCTGACAGCTCCCATTGTCATTCCTGGAAACAGGCTGGGCTCCCTCCCTTTTCTGAGCCCATGGCTCCTTTATTCCCTCTTGAAGCTCCTGCTCGTCGCTGTCAGCACTGGGTTCATCCCGGCCCAATCCAGCCTGTGCAATTCCTTCTGGGATAAATAATTCATCCATCGTCTGGCTCTGTTATTGTTATTATTAGGGATATGTCCTAGACTGGGTTTCAAACCTGGCAGGATCTCTCCCAAAACACGTTGCCCAGGGCTAAGTGCAATATTTTGGGTGTGGCCATGTTTGGAAGTTGCTCATCAAAGAGATTTTGGCTCCAGGGCTTCTCCTCTACCTTGGGTTGGGACACGAGCCCAAGGAGGAGATAAATGTTGTGAAACCTCTCCATGAATCCAACCAAGACCAGGCTGGGGAGCACTGGGGGGCTCTGGGACCCTGAGGCAAATTCTCTTGGCCAAAATTAGCAATCAGAGGAAAAATGGAAACCGTGGTGTTGTCAGGAGAGGTGGAATGTCCGTGGCATGAGATGCTGTCCATCATAATCCGGCTGGATTAGGGGAGCCAGCAGCCACAGGGAGGTTTCCTATGATTTCCTAAGATTTGCCATGGGGAAATCCACCCACAGGCCCAAGGAAGAGATAAGGATTGTGAAACCTTTCCCTGAATCCAGCCAAGACCAGGCTGGGGAGCACTGGGGGGCACTGGAGGGCACTGGGACCCCAAAGCAAATTCCTGTTGGTCAAAATTAGCGATGATTTTGGAAACGTGGAGACCACAGTGTTGTCAGGAGAGGTGGAATGTCCATGGCACGGGATGCTGTCCATCCCCTCCTGCCTCTCCAGCTGGATCAGGGGAAGCAGCAGCAGCCCCAGGGAGGTTTCCCCTGGATTTGCTGAGCTCTGCCCTGGGGAGCTCCAGCAGTGCTGAGCTGGGGAGCTCTGTGTGTGCCGTCCCCCCTCGGAGCCGGCCTCGCCCATTCCTGCAGCAACACGCCCTGGGAAGAGGCCAAATAATTGTCATACCTGGGTCCCCCCTTATCTTGGGAAGGTCGGGAAGCAGGAGTGTGCTGGAGTTCACCTCATGGCCAGCAGCTCTTTGGCATGGAGAGCACTGGGTGCTCCTGTGCCAAGACAATGACTCCTCGCTCTTCCCCTGCCAGAAAAATAATCCTATTTATGTAACTCGAAGTGAAGCATTCCAGGGCATGAATATTCAGCTCTTCCTGCAAATAGGAAGCTCTGTTACCTGCAGGATTGAACTCCCCAGCTGTCAGCTCAGCCCACATCTTGCCCTGTGGCTGCTGATGCTGGTTTTGACAGCAGGAGGTTTTCTTTTCTTCCAGTGAACACCATTTGCATGGGATTTTTTTCCCCCATCCGGGATAGAAGGAGCTGTGCTTTTCCTGGTATTAATGTCCCATTAAATGTCTCCTTTGTCTTTGTAGGCAGTGGACCCATCCAACTGTGGCAATTCCTGCTGGAACTGCTCACTGACAAGTCCTGTCAGTCCTTCATCAGCTGGACGGGCGATGGCTGGGAATTCAAACTCTCTGACCCAGACGAGGTAGAGTTCCCTGGAATGAAGTGCACAACCCAAATTCCTCAGAGATATTGGTGTGGATAACCCACTCCTCCTTTCTTTGGGGCTGGGATTTGTGCAATCCTGTTCTTCTGGCCTTGGGTATGTGGGGAAACCAGCTGAAACCCGGTTAAAAATGGGGCAGCAGTGACACCTTGGGAGCAGTGATTTGTGCCCAGAGTTGGTGGGAAGGAGCTGAAACACCCCAGGGAGAGGAGCAGTGGCAAAGCTCTTCAGACAGGCTGTGGACACGTGAGAGGGGGGGACTGTCCACTGGTTTTGGGGAACAGATGGGATATTTGTTGCCTTCCCTGGCTGAGGTTGGAACCAGGTGGAGGTCGGTCTCTTCTCCCAAGTACAAGAGACTGGACAAGAGGAAATGGCCTCAAGTTGCACCAGGGCAGGGTTAGGTTGGATATTGGGAAAATTTCTTCACATTTCTTCACAGAAAGGGTTGTCCAGCCCTGGCACGGCTGCCCAGGGCAGTGGTGGAGTCCCCATCCCTGGAGGGATTTAGAAGCCATGTGGATGTGGCACCTGGGACATGAGTTAGTCGTGGGATTGGCTGTGCTGGGAGAATGGTTGGACTTGATCTTAGAGGGCTTTTCCAACTTAAATGATTCTGTGTATCCTCATGGAATCCCAGAATGTACTGAGTTGAAGGGACCCACAAGGACCATCCAGTCCAACCTCAGCCCTGCACAGGCCCATCCCCGAGAGTCACCCCCTGTGCCCCAGAGGATCATCCAAACCCTCCTGCAGCTCTGGCAGCCTTGGGGCTGTGCCCACTGCCCTGGGGAGCCTGGGCAGTGCCCAACCAGCCTCTGGGGGAAGAACCTTTTGCTGAGATCCAACCTGAGCCTGCCCTGACACAGCTCCAGCCATTCCCTGGCTGCTGTCCCTGGTCCCCCCAGAGCAGAGCTCAGTCCCTCCTCTGCCCCTGCCCAGGCAGTTGGAACTGCACTGAGCTCTCCCCTCAGTCTCCTCCTCTCCAGACTGAACCCTCTGCAGTGCTCTGGGTTGGTTGTTCCAAGCACTGGTGCTCGTGGCCCACCCGTGTCCCTCTCAACGCCGACTTCAACAACGACAAGGAAAATCTTCTCCCTCCCCTCGTACCCAGCTGAGAACTCCTCAACCGAGCCATGCTGACCCCTCCTCCCTTTCACCCCCTCTGCCAGGTGGCCAGGAGATGGGGCAAGAGGAAAAACAAGCCCAAGATGAACTACGAGAAGCTGAGCCGGGGGCTGCGTTATTACTACGACAAGAACATCATCCACAAGACGGCGGGGAAGCGCTACGTGTATCGCTTCGTGTGCGACCTGCAGAGCCTGCTGGGCTACACCCCCGAGGAGCTGCACGCCATGCTGGACGTCAAACCCGATGCTGACGAGTGAAGAGGACCCAGGGCCACCCCCGTCCTCCTGGAGAGCCTTTGGGACTGTGTTGGTGCATTTTTTCCCCGCCTTTTTTGCTGTTCTTTTTGCCGTTCGTTACGTTGTGTTTTTTTCGGGAGCGACTCGGATTTGATGCTTTGAGGGGGTCGGGTGGAGGAAGAGGCAAACTTTTGGCCAAAGTTTGGTTCAGAGTTAGGATGGGCTTTGTGGTTGTTTCCTGCAAGCTCCAAGACAGGCCTTTTTTGGGGCGAAATTCTCTCCATTCATTACGTTGTTTTTTTTTTCAAGAGCGACTCAGATTTGATGCTTTGAGGGTGTTGGGGGAGAGGGTGGAGGAAGAGCCAAATTTTGGCCAGTTTGGTTCAGAGAAGGATGGGCTTTATGGTTGTTTTCTGCAAGCTCCAAGACAGGCTGTTTTGGGGTGAAATTCTGAGTTTAAGAAAGCCAGAAAAATGTAGCTCATTTAAAAAAACCAACAACCCTCTCCCCACCCTTTGCTGTTTAGAAAAAATATGATGAAATGGATCCCTGTGGTTGTTCACCCAAACTGACAGTTGAAGAAATGACAATATTCCCAAGGATTTCAGGATTTTCAACTTTTTTTGGGGGGGTTGGGGAGGGGAAAAACCAACTGGGTGAATATTCCTGCTTCGGGGAGGGGCAATATAGGAAAAACACAAGAACTGTTGTTCTTGTTCCATCACTTTTCTGTCCATTGTCTTCTTTTCTACAAGAGACAGATTTTTTTTTTTCCTAGGAGGGATCAAGACTCTTTTTTATTTTTTATTTTTTAATTTGTTAAAGTTTTATTTTATTAAATTTTGTGCCAGTATTTGGTTGTTTTTTTTATTTTTTTTTTTAAATAGTCTTAAGCTCTAAGATGGTCTCAGTATTGCAATATTGTGTGTGTTTGTTTCTGTTATGCCAGCAGAGAATTTTATCACAGTGAGTAAAAGGAAAAAAAAACAAAAAAAGAATTTAGTTTATGTAGACCCCACTGGAGAATTGGAACGTTGCAACTTGGATGTGAAGGAAAATTAACTCCAAACTGGCTCCTGGTGATGCTGGCTGGGTGTGCCACCCTCCTTTCCAGTCCCACACTCTGTGCTGATAAAGCTGGTTGAAATATCTCCTTTTGTTTTTGTTTTTTTTTTGCCTGGCTGCACAAAGACTCTCAAGATTTCCATGGAAAATGTCTTTTTTTGTGTGTTTTCCAAATAATTTCTTTGCTCAAGGATCACTTTGGTGCTTACAGAAAATTAGGCTTGCTTGTTTGTTTTTTTTCCAACAGGGAGAAATTCCTGTGTTTTCAAGGTGACAAATGGAAAACACAGCAGTGAACTGAGGGGAAAAAATCAGGAAAAAGTTAAAAACCCAAAGGGAAATGTTTTTTCCTTCCTGTTGTGACCAGCTCTGTCTTTAGGGCTGTGTGTGTTGACCTGCCTGGGCACAGGAGGGGGAAAATTATCCCTGCAAATGGGCTTTTTATGACTTTTTGGAGCCCAGCCTTGGCAGGTGTGAGGGACACGAGGCAAACCCGGGGCAAACACGAGGTCTTGTGCTCAGGGGAGATGGTTTTGGGATCAATCCCAGTGGGAGCTGCTCCCTCTGCTCTCCAAACCTTTGCTGCAGCTGGTTTTTGTTTGGAGGGGTCAATCCTGCTGTGCCAAGCACTTCCTGGGATGCTCTGGGATGCCTTAGAGGATCAGTGAGTGTTCCCATATCCAGGTCCAACCTCAAAGCTGGATCCATGAGGATCTGGCTGCTCACTGGAGTCTTCCCCCCCCCAGGCCTTTGCATTCCAAGCCAGTGTTACGTGTTTGAACCAAAAGTACCTTCTTTTCGTGTTGTTTGTCAGTCTGTGTGTTTTAGGGCATGGAGGTCATTCCAGGGGCACTGTGGGGCACCAGTGGGGTCAGAGGCTTTCCAGGGATGGGGGTGGGCAATGCCTGCCTGATCCCAAAGGATCAGCTTGGAAGGACAGGACACTGAGTGTAAAGAGCCAAAATATTCAGGCACTTCCCCCCTGAGCAGGGGCAGGGCTGGAGGGGGAGCCCAATCCCAGGGTGATGCTCAGAGGTCCTGGACCCTCATCCATTTCCTCTGGAGCACCTTGGGATCCTAAAATTGGTCATTTTAGGGCAGGTCAGCCCCAAAATCGCTGCTGCTTGAAAAGAAAATGCTGGTGGAGGGGCAGGGAGTGGCCAGGAGGGAGCTCCAGCCCAGGGGGGGTTGGACAGGGAGGTTGTTACACCGTTGGCTCGTGGCTGGGGGTTGTCCCCCTGAGCCCACGGGAGGAAAAGGTGGGATGGATGGAAAGGAGGGAAGAGGGGATGGCTGGAGGGTGAAGGGAACACGCCCCAAAGGAGGAAAGGGATGCTGCCCACTGGGAGGTTAAGCCCTGGCTCATCTCCTGGGCACACAGGGAGGGTGGGGAAAGCAGAGGAGAGGAAAATTGGGATGTCGTGGCTGAGTCCCCTCCATCAGTGAGGCACCAGGGCAGAGCTCCACTGTGTCCTCTGAGCAGCTGGAAAGGGAGTGCAGGGAGATGGGAGGGCACAGAGGGCACAGGGGAGCAGCTGGTACAGGGCAGCCCAGCAGGACACTCGGTGTGGGTTGGATTTCCAGCAGTTGGAGGGGTTTGGGGGATGTTCAGGGTCCTGCCTTGCTGCAAAGTGCCCTGAGCTTCCCCAGCATGGGTCACTTAGAACCCCCTTACACCCACAGAAAGGTGCCAGGCACTCCAGCTCCTGCCCTGGCACCGTGCCCTGTCCCAGGACATCCCCCCTGCTTTGCTGGGTTGCTCCACTGCAGCTGAAGTGCCTTTTTCAAGCAAAAAACTGGGATAAAATTTCCCTCCAGTAGAAGGAAGTGCAGGTTCAGGTACAACCCCATTGTCCTGCCAGGCTGAATCCCACTTCCACCCCACCATGCTTATTATTCCAGGTTTCCAAGCTGTGTTCCCAGTGACTTTGGGGAGGTGGTTTAGAGGTTGGAAAGGGTGAGCCATGGGAAGCAGCTCTGGTTTTCGGAAGCAGCCCCTGGCTGGAGTTTCTCCATCGTTTCTCCAAGCCATCCCATGCCAGGGCCATCAGGGCCACCATTCTCTCTTTTCCTTTCCTTTTCATTCCCGCTCCAGGGACCATCCCCGAGATGTTTGCTGTTTATACACTGGAAATTTGCAGATTTGTCTTTGTTTCTTTTGATTTTGTTCCTTTTTCCTTCTCCTCCTGCCTTCCCTGCTGGCCTTTGGCGAGGGCTGTGCTGGACCAGCCTTGCTCAGCCCAGACCCTCTGACCTCCTGGCCTTCAGCTCCATGGAAATTTGGGATCCCACCTGTGCTGGGATATCCAGAAGGCTGGATTGGAGGGGGATGATGAGCTGGGACTCACCCCTGGGCTGGTTTCTCTGCGTGGGGGTGAATTCCACCCCCATGGCCGTTGGAAATCGGTGGGTTTGCCTTGTTTTGGGATGTCTCAGGTGCTTTGGGGTTTTTTTGGGAATATTTTCTGTGTCCTGCTCGTTTTCTACTCTTCTCCATGTGGTTGATGTCCCTTGGTCCCTCTGGCAGAGCCTGAGCCCTTCTTTACAAACAGCTCTCGGGGGCCTCAACGGTCAATATTTGGGACCAAAAAAGAGGGGAAAAAACCCCAATAATGATAAAAAACACAAGCACTTTTCTGCTGCCCATCTCTCTCCATCCCCATGTGTGGGACCACCATAGTCCTTGGACATTCCTGTGTGTCCAAGTGTAAATCCATGTTATTCCCACACATCCTCATCCAGTCGTGACCGTTCAGGTGGAGAAAGAACCAAAAAAGAAAAGATAAAATGAGATTTAACCAACTCCTCCTCCAAAAAAAGGGTCCCAGAAATCCCCAGGAAATCCAGGAATCACCTCCATCTTATGCTTTTTGCTCTTTTTGGAGGGGTTTTCTCCCAGATTTTAGGGCTTGATTGCTTATTCCATTGGAAAATTGGGATGCCTTGGCGTGCTCTGCTCTCTGGTAGGGTCTATATGATACCCCTGAGCTGTTGTCTACATTCCAAAGAGGTTTAAATAAATGATAAATCTATGTATACATATATGTTATAATGGAATATCTCCAGGAATTAACTGCCTCAGTAAAAAAAAAAAAAAAAAAAAAAAAAAAAAAAAAAAAAAAAAAAGGAAAAAAAAGTCTTTTTTTTGTTTTATTTTGTTTTTACGCATTTTTTTAAGCTGAAAAACAGAGAAGAAGAAGAAGAAGAAGAAAAAAAAGAGATTGTTATATTGTGCTGTTCGACTATTTTCCAACTTGTATTTTCATATAATTTATATTTTTTAAAAGTGGGGCGGGGAAAAAAAAAAAAAGAAGTTTAAAAGTGAGATTTAACAAAAAAAAAAAAAGAAAAAAAAAGGAAAAAGCAGGTGCTTTTTACAAAAAACCCCTGAGCTGAGGTAGCTTCGAGATGTAGCGACGTGTGTGTGTGTCTGTGTGGTGTGTTTTGGTCTGTTTTGGTCTTTTGTTTTTAAAGGATACAAAATGAAAAAGCAATCCCTCCTGCATTGAATGGGTAAGGAAGGGGGGATTGGTTCCGTTTGAATTGCTGATGCTGGCACATCATTTTGCTGGAGAGTTTTTTATATACTGTAGCCTTATTTCATATCGTATTTTAAACCATGTGAAATTAAAAGAAGAATAATTCCTAATTCCCGGTGTCCGTGTGATCATTCCAGGCTTTTCCTCTGGGAATTCGGGGGGCAGAAATGGGAAAACCAATGGGAAAACCAATGGGAAAATGGAGAAATGCCAACAATTATGTATTTATAAAAATTCTATATTTTATAATATAGAATTATTATATTTTTATATAATATATATAATATATTATTGTGTTATTTATAATATAACAATATTTAGATTCTTATATTACAATTATATCATCTATAATAGTATAGAATTTATAATATTTATAAAAATATTTATATATTACAATTAATTATATATTAATATACAATAGTACAATATTTATAAGATATTATTTATTGAAAATATATATGATATATATAATATATATTTTTAATATTTATAGCAACACCTATAGTATTATAAATCATTCTTTATAATATCTATTACATTCAATATAATATTATAAAATTGCTTATATATAAAATTGTATATTTTATATTCTTTTTAATATTTATAACAATATTTATATAATTTTACATAATTATTTCTATTAATATGTAATATCACATTATTCATTATATTATTTATTAAAATTATTTATAGATAAAATTATATATTTTACATTATATTATTTCTAATATTTATAGCAATATTTATATTATTATAAATCCTTTATAATAATATATAACATTGCATTAGTTGTTATATTCTAAAATTACTTATAGATAAAATTATATATTTCATATTATATTATTTCTAATATGACAATATTTACAGAATTATACATAATGTCTATTAATATATATCACATTATTCATAATATATTATTTATTAAAATTATTTTAATATATAATTATATATGTCATAATATAGTATTTTTAATATTTATAACAATATCTCTATGATTATAAATCATTATAATGCTATATAAGATTACATTATTTATAAAACTATTTTATATAAAATTATATATTTTATACTATTATATGACTTATAATACTATAGTAATATTTATATTATTATAAGTAATTATTTATAATAATATAAAATATTAAATTATATTATATTATTTATAAAAACATTTAAATATCA